AACAGGATCACAAATGTAATGGAAATTACAAATGTAAAAGTAGGAAACCTTACAGTAGCAGGTCCTATGATGGTCACTCCCTTCTGATCTGCCTTTTTAATCAGTTTTCTGGTGAGAGCTTCAGGGATCCCTTCAGCAATGATGGCAATTGTACGAATCTGTAAATGGAAGAAGAGAAAAAGAGAGGTTGTTAAGGACCTATGTCACTAAGCTGTTCCAGAGCAGGGTAATGGAGGCTGGAGCAGTTCAGTCTGACCTCTCCGGAATGCTAAGGATTATCATCCAAATCCTAAGCATTGACCTCTCCTCTCCACCCCCAATTCCTATAGAATTCTCTACCGCCTTTCCTCCAAGGCCAAGACTGCTCCCTTTATCTGGCCTGGACCAGATGCAGACAAGAGTAATCACCATCCACATCCAGTGAAAGAACTATGGAGTCTGAATGGAAATCAAAACATACTATTTTCACCTTTTTTTTGTTTTTTCTTTCTTGTGGTTTTTCCCTTTTGTTGTGGTTTTTCTTCTGTGGCATGACTAGTGTGGAGATATGCTTAATATGATTGTACATGTACAGCTTATATCAGATTGTTTGCCGTCTTGTGGAGGGGGAAGGAAGAAAAAAAATTTGGAACTCAAAATCTTATAAAAGTGAATGTTGAAAACTATCCTTACATGTAATTTGAAAAAATAAAACATTAGTAAGGGGGGGGGAAGTGAATGCTGTAAACTAAAAATAAACAAACAGATGAATATTGGGGAAGGAAAAAAAGAAGAGTAATCATCACTTGCCTGAGCAGATGCAAAAACTTCCCAAGTCAGTGCTGTGTACAAATTTGCCCCACTTTCTCCTACTCAGTCAAAACTAAAACCAACATCCACCTTCCTTTCCCAAAACATTGGTCCATTAGTCTGAATACAATGCAAACACCTTTTACCCCTTCATATTCACCCCTGTCTCCATCTCTGTCCAAATCACTCCGGCTTGGCTTCAGCCAATACAGAAGTCAATGACTGGCTATACTATTTGCTCTCTGCCACACCCACCCCAGAGAGGGGAAGGGCCAGGGGCAGGGGCAGACAGCATAGAAGTTTTAGCATGGTCAACTATCACATATGCCAAAGGACAGTTAACAGGGAAGGGATGATTAAAGAACACCTCATCCATTTAACAAATGCAAAACTACTTGCATTTGGATACCATCTTTATAATCATCTTTCAGTTCCCTTTTGTTCTGCCCAATATTAAAAGGCATTCATTCCGTGAACGCACATCAAGCTTGCAGCAAACAAAGAGTCAGAAAGCTGCCAGGATGGGATTAAACCCAGGTACAGATGAGTACAGATAATCCCCATGTAGAGAGCAGGGAGTCAGGGGTGTACAGCCAAGGCTTCCAGCAGCTTTGGGCACTTGCTCTGAATGCAGGGGTTGGAGTTTCTCTAACCTACTGAACCTGGGCCTCCCACCCCCACGACCTATAAATGTTTCCCTAGAGAGTACAGCCCCTCCACTACTCAGGCCACCCACCTGGGCATAATTCATGGTCTCAATGGTGCTGTCATAGGCAGAGCGGAGGGAAGCAAAGTTGATGAGCACGTCGACCTCAGGGTGCTTCTTCATGGCATCTGCCATATTCTTGAAAACAGGGATCAGAATCTCCTTGTGGCCCCAGTAGAATTTCTGCTTGTGGTCCCCACTATGAGAAAAATGGAAGTGGTAAGGGATGGAGTGGACAGGGATGGGGTGGGGATGGACAGGCCCCACAGCACAGCGCCCCCAAGAGGAGCTGGGAACTAACGTAGATGAGACCAGGGCTGTGACCTCCGGGGGGGGGGGGGGGGGG